TCCTGTTCTCTTCCGTGTAGTACTCGCCGATCACGCCAACGACGCTGTAGAGCTCGTGCATCACTTGACTCGCACACAAAAGGGTGTACGGTATCATCGCTTTTCCGATCTCCACGTAGTCCTTAATCGTGTACGCGTTCGTGTTCCTGATCGTGCTCACGTTGGTGCCGTCGGGGTTCACGCTGCACACATTGTAGCCTTCCTGGTAGTACTCGCCGTACACGTCGTAGTTCCTGTAGCTTGTCTGGTGCGTATTGGGCTTCCTTGCTCTGCTCCTCTACACGGCCATGAGCTCGCTCTCGTCGCTCTCCACGTACGTAAGTTCCTTTCTCCCACGGCTCGCATCCCTGGAGGATACGCCATCTCCAAGGGCAAGTTCTTCCTTGACCTTCTCGCTGTAGCCAAGAGCCTGCCACGGTGCAACCACACTTCTTGTTCCCGGGTTCAAGGTCATCCCGCACAACGTTGCAAGGCATCCCAGGGAAACCAACCAGCAGCACAACACATGCTGCCAGACCGCAGCACTTCACGTTCCTGCACTCCTTCTGTTCCACCAGCACTCTGTCTGAGCACGCGTCGAAGTCTCGAGCGTTTCTGCCCTCAAATGGAAGAACTGCTTTTGAATCAGGTTAGTGACCGCACTCGTTTTGTCTCGTTTCGTTTTGCTTCGAATGTTTTTAGCTCAAGAAAAAGATCGAGTGCTTCTGCTGTCACGTTGTGGTTCGGAAGGTGTCCACAACCTCTGCGGTGGTACTTGGTTCCTGAACGGACTGCGACCTGAGCGTGGACACAGTCAGCACTGCTCTGTCTTCTTGGTCACTTGCTCATTTGCGCGCATCTGCTTCCACCAGCAACATGGCGGCAAGCATCATTGTTCCTATTGCTACGAGTAGCATCATCGCTGCCAAGCAGGCGAACGGGCTTCACAGCTTTCCTGCTCTCTCACAAAGACGGACACTTTCTTGGACTGCGAAGTGTGTCCTGGTGGTCTCGAGCCTGCACGTCGCGTGTGCGTAACGGCTGTTCCTTTGCACTGCACTGCACTAGCGGTGTTACTGTTGAACTGTTCCTGCAAGATGTTTGGACAAGACCTGCATGTAACTCCATTAGGGAAGACTCGGCCGCAGTTTCGATGGACCATAAAAGGGCAGACTGTGGCAGGAAGCTTCCGAAGAGACGGCTCGGAACCAAACCATGGCAGCATCACGAGGGCGCAAAAGGCAACTTGGAGAGACCAATGTGAAAAGGCCTTTTTGCGCGATGTTTTAATTGCAGTCCACACAGTACCCGCCCAACATGGGTTTTTGGGGGGGTGTTCGAACCCAAGGTTTGGAACTTAGAGTTCCGAACCCAGGGTTCTGGAACTCCGAACCAAGAGTTCGGAGCCTCGAACCCAGGGTTCGAACATCGAAGTTCCCTCCGAACCCTGGGTTCGAACTTTGAGTTGAACTCCAAGTTGAACTCAACTCCGAACTTCTTGAAATGGAGTTGAACCTGGAGTTGAACTCTGAAAGGCGAAGAGTTTGAACCCAGGGTTTGAACATAGAGTTTCCGAACCCAGAGTTCGAACTCTGGCGGTCCTAAAGAGTTGAAACCCAGGTTTCGAACATTGAGTTTCCGAACCCAGAGTTCGAACATGGAGTTTCCGAACCCAGAGTTCGAACTCTTGTCTCATTGCTTCTTGTTCTCTCATTTTATTTTTTCGCAAAAACCCCATTAGCGATTTCGTGTGTCTTGCGGTTGAGTTTGTGGTTTCTGTCATTGTAGTGTGCTCTCAGTAATTTTGTTCGCAAAACCACCCACAAAGCGATTCTGTGTGGCTTCTTCTCCTTTTGTTTGGTGATTGTTGGTGTTCTGTTCGAACCCCGTTCGAACTCTGGGGGGGAGTCCAGAACCCGGGGTTGGGCGGTTCATTTGTTCGCGCCTTTAGCATTCTCGTAGGAGACTTCATGTCCTTCTGAAGCCCCCTTGAGAAGAAAGACTCTTCGTCATTGACAATCTTTTTCTTTGTTTTGTCTTTCTTTGATTTCTTCGCAAAAACCACCATAAAGCGGTTTCGTGTGGCTTCTTCTTCTTTTGTGGCAGGGACTGGTCATGGGTAGTCTTTTTCTTTGTTTTCGGCAAGCTTCTAAAAACAGCGGGGGGGTTGGGGGGGGCGCAGCCCCCCCCCAAACGTGGAGTTCCCGAACCCAGGGTTCGAACGCCCCGGGGGGGACGAATTCCAGAACCCGAGGTTCCAACATAGAGTTCCCCAAACCCCGGGTTCCAATCGGACTCTCTAAGAAAGGGGGAGCGAACCCGGGGTTCGAACGTGGAGTTCTCCAAACCCCGGGTTCGAACATAGAGTTCCCGAACCCAGGGTTCGAACATAGAGTTCCCGAACCCCGGGTTCGAACATAGAGTTCCCGAACCCAGGGTTTGAACATAGAGTTCAAACTCCAGGTTCAACCTGGGTTCGAGAAGTTCGAACCCAGGGTTCAACCCTGAGTTCCGGAGTTATATGTTCTCCCCCCCCCCCCGGGCCCCCCGGGAGTTCGAACCCTGGGTTCCGGAACACTCCAAAAACCTATGCTCGTACCCGCCTTCACAGAGGAGGATCGGCTTGGCCTTGGACCGGTTGGATCGGGCGCTGCTTGAAAGCATCATCACCTCCGGCATACAAGTCCACGACAGCACCACTTGTAACAGAGAAATCTTCTTGGTGCACTCTCTAGAGTCCTGAGCTGGCAAAAAAAAGAAGCTCAATATGTCAAGGCGTCGACCACAAAAGACATTGCATTAAAATTTCCATTGCGCGGAATCACCAGGATGCGTGTGTCAAATAAGCGGCCAAGTGCCTTTATTTCAATGGTGGAGTTATATGCAGATTCAGAAGCGATTAACTCAAGGTATGCCAAAAAAAGCCCGTCTTGAGTGACTTGCATTTTCCCGCTATTTTTGCAAACTCCGGTCCGTGGCCGTTCCACTTGCCAAATACCGCAAAAATACGTAAATGTTCTACGCAAGGTCTCTGTGGAAGTTTGTTTAGAGCCCGAAAGCCATTGAGACCACGCGCAATCGCATGAAACAGACATGCTCCGTCTTTCGAGTCTCTATAAGGCGCTTCTGGTCCAGCTCGTCACAACACGGGGGAAGTAGCTGGAACGCCTTCCATGGCATTTGCAATGGCTTCCTGCACAGCTTTCTAAATGAATGCGGTGATCATGGACATCTGATGCTTGCCATCATGACCTCGAGAGGGTTTTCACCTTCAAATCGCAGGCCAGTGGAATCCGAAAGGCTCTGAGGCAGGCAGGAACGCGAGACAGCAGCAGAATCCTGGTCCTGGGAATTTGGCTACGGGTGCTTGCGCATACAGAGACAAGCACTTCACTATTACTCCCAACGTGCGGAAACCTTTGGGCTTCACTGAATCTTCCGGTCGGTCTTGACCCAAGAGTCCTTGCACTTGCACGTTGCCTGGTGACTGGTAATTCTTCATCGCAGAGCAAGGACGCTGCCCTAGGGTTGAGATCCTTCCCTGTAGGGATACCTGTGTCCCTGTTGATTGTGCTGCGTCGCTTCAGGTGCAATCCGGGTTTCCAGTTTTTGGCAGGAGACCCAGAAGCTTTGCAGCCTGAACAATACAGAATTGCGCTAGCAAAGCTATTTCTTGCGGACTATGGGCAATCTTTCTACAACTCAGTGATCTTGACTGTATGCAGTTGTGGGAGCCACTGGGTCAAGACAGACCGGAAGGTTCGAGTATTTTCCGAGTGGTCCCTGGTGGTCTGCTGCTCAACTGCCTGTGTGACGTGTGTCCTGCTGGCATTTGTGATCCTTGGAACCCGCCTGACTGTGTGCTTTTCTGGGTCATTGGGGTCCAAGTATATCCCATTTTGGCCCCCAAGTTCCAACGTGTGCGCTGCTCAGATGGTCTGCTGCAAAACTGCGCTTGTGGAATACGACCTGCTGGTGGGCATGTTCTTCCGAGCTTGCCTGTCGAGTGCATTTGCAAAGAGCCTTTGGGTTCAAGTCGACCGCTGGGTCCGAGTATATCCCACCTGGCCCCGAGCAACCTGATGCCAACTTGTGTGGCACAATCTGTAGGCACCAGTAGCCCAGCTTCAGTCCCAATCTTTGCCCTTGCGCGGGTCTTGGTAGTGCAGAGCCCCTACAAGACTTTAAGAACATGGCCACAGAGGCTCTGCTTGCTGCAGTCAAGCTCGCACTCACTGTCACAAGAAACACGAGTTAGGCCATTGAGGCTCTTTGCCCTTTCACGGGTCTTGTTGATTTCTTGATTGTCACACACAGGGTTCTCAGCAGCGCAAGTCGACGTCCCACATGGCCCAGCACCAAGGTCCAGACCAGGCGCTGAGGAAAGAAGCTGCTGCTGCGGCGCGTAGTAAAGAAACTCCTCAGAGAAAGTGTCCTCAATCAAGTGGAGCCTAAATGCTGCACTTGCTTGCGGCGCGTAGTAAAGAAATTCCTCAGAGAAAGTGTCCTCAATCATGTGGAGCCCAAATGTTGCACTTGCCTGCATGTCAGGAACATGCGCACAACACTCACTCGCCAAAGGTGGCCCCTGAGCAGGGCATTCATCCCCAGCAATCCCGTGATCCATCCCCGAGGACCAAGAGGTTGCAGCAGCAATCAAGCTGCCGCCCGCACACGTGCCATCGGAGCTATCCATCTCTGAAGCCCCTGGTCGGAGCCCCCAGGCCCCAACAGCGCACCACACCATGGAAATTGGCACATTGAGCTGCGCCAAGAAATCAAAATCCTTCTGGACCGAAAGAAGCCGAAGATCACGTGCTCGAACAATGTCAGCAGCCAGCTTCTGTAGCCGCTGGATCACCCACGGTTGTGCATCCCAGGCAAGAGTTACCCTGGATGCTTTGCCCCACGCTTCTTTTCCCAACAAAGAAGCACCATCACTCAAAGCACGATTCATTCGCTTCAGAGAACGCCGTAAGTGTAGGTAGAACCCACAATCAGGGCCTCCAGAAGAAGGAGCCATGGCCCGAAGGCACATGTGGGAAGTGTCAGCCCTGTACCTGGGAAAGTACAGGTTAACCAGCTCAAGACGCGAGGAGTCCCTTCCCACTTGAGCCCAAAACTCCAGAACCGTATATTGCACAAAGATTCGTGAAACAGTATCCGGGCTCAATATATAAAATGCCCGAGAATATAATAAGTATTGGAGCCGGTTATCAAAAATGCTCCCGAATATATTCTCACAACTGCTGGCGCGAACTTCTTTTCTTCTGAGCACTCGAAAGGGGCTGTTCGAAAAGGGTTTGTTGCACCGACAACTTCGGTGCACAACACGCGTGGTAGAGTTTCCACAAAGCGGCTTGCGGTAAGAGATTCCGCTATGTGTCAAGCACCCGATTGCCCCCATAACAAGTGCTGCCATGGAATGCTTCCAGGGAACGACTCCGCACTGGCCAGGCCCAACGCTCTGGCCACAGTATCGCCTTTACCCCTTGAAGGTCCGTCGGCGATGTTCGACTTCGACGGTACTCGAGTGTACCACGCGTAGGAGACCATGTTGTCTTCAAGTCGACACAGCTCGCGAAGCATGCGATCCATAATGCAAGATCTGCTCACGCCCTTCACAAGGGCCAAACGTGCAGGTTCGTTGTCTATCCAATAGACAACTCTCCTGCCCTCCACACGTTCCCTGAAAACAAGTTTTGCACAGAAGATCGCATACAACTCGACCTGGCAGATCAAGTGCTCGCTGGCCTCGTTTCGCCATGCGTTCCTGAGCACGGAGATCCTCGGGGTCTCTGCCTTTGTGGACAGTGGGCCCCGTCGCGAGCTCACCTGACGTGGAAGTGCGAAGCTACGGCCACGTGTCGCGCTGGAGTTCGACAACCCAGGCACAGGGCTGAAGAGCGTCTTTTTGCTTGTGGTCTACCGCAGTGGCCGCCGGCTCCTGTGGCCCTGGACGAGGAGGACTTCGTCGAGGGCATCGCGGAGGCCGTGGGCAAGGCGGCTGTCGAGGCCGAGCAGGTGTCGGGCGGTGCCTTCGAGTTCCAGGACTTCTCGCTGCCGGAGAACACTGAGGAGTTGGAGGGCACTGCGCGAGAGTTGTGGATGGTGGCGGCGACAGACGGCTCCGCGAGAGATGGCGTCGCAGGCTACAGCGTTGTGTTCCCTGGTGGACGCGGCGGGGGCACGGGGGATGGGAGCGAGGACCAGAGCTCGTTCCGCGCGGAGCTCAAGGCGCTCCTCGTCCTTTTCCGGGCGGTGCTTTTGGCCAGTGCCAATGGGTTGTCGGCGAGGGTGCTGTGGGTCGTGGTGGACTGCAAAGCGGCGCTGGACAGCCTGGCGAGTCTGGCCACAAGCTGTTTGCCGCTGCTGGCGAGTGCTGCTGCGAACCACTTGAAGTCCTTGAGGCGACTTGGCTGGAGGTCAAGCCTTTTTGGTGTCCGAGCCACGGCAAGCGACGTGAGTGGCAAGCTCCTTTTCCTCTTCGTGCTGACCTTTGCAGGCTTTTGAACGAGGCTGCGGACGGCGAGGCGAGGCGGGCCATGGAGCGACGTCGGACTGGCTCTTTGAGGAGCCGGTGGCAAGCTGAGGCTGAGCGGAGAAAGCCATCCTGGCTGCCGCCCATGCGGGTCAAACTTACGGTGAGAGTGTCATCAAGGTGACCCGACTGCTACGTGCTGGAGCGAATGGTGACGGCTAGTGGCCGTCCCCCTGGTGTTGGCCTGCGCAACAACTTCGTGACCTGTCCTCCTGCAGCGGGGGCTCGGCTGCACGGCTGTGGTTAGCTGGTGGCGAGCTTGGCTTCGGCTGCGGTGATGAACAATTTGAGCAGTGAGCACTCTCGGCGGCGGTGGGGCGCTGCGGCTGGCTCCACTGAGTTCGTACAACGAGTTCCGTTGAGAGTGCCCTAGTTTGAACGGTAGTTTTCACGTAGTGTCCCTCCAAGGGCTTAGGAGTTCTGCAGCGGTGCATGCCTGTATCTGCTGCTTTTGCTCAAGAAAACCTTGAGCAGCGGGCCGTCACTCCACGGTACAGGGTGCTTGTGACTTTGGCCGGAGTTTCACGAAGTGACCGAACAAGGACTCCTGGCCTGCGGTGCGTGCTGCTGCGCGTGCCGAGGGGGTCGGGAGCACTCAGTGAGTCGAGTCTGTTGAACATATTGATCATGCTTGTTGGGCATGCTGTTCATGTTTTAATTGCCCTTGCCATGCAAATAATGCAAGCAATCTCGCCCATACATCTGTAGGCTGCCCTTGCCCTCCTCCGCCTCCCCCTCCCCCGCTGCCTGCGCCGTCCCATAAGAGCACCCGTCATGCTGTTCTGTGTCACTTGCCGGTTCTACCCGACGGGAAATGCAGTGGGCGCTTTGGGGTAGGCGACTCCGATGGGCCGAGCATCATTCGCCTTGCAACGTTAAACTGTAATGGGTAATGGTCGAGGGCTGGTCGGCGTAACTCGGCTTTTCATGGTTTCATGAGGTTCTTACCTCATCAAAAGTGTCATGTTGCCTTCCTCCAGGATATCAACGTACCCGCGGTGGCAAGTTTGCCTCAGGACCAGCCTTACTTTGTTGATGGTCTAAAAGACACGCGCCGACATGATGCAGTTTTCCTGTTTCATCGTGACATAGCCGCTTTTTGTGCACAAATTCCGAACATCAGGGTTCACCCCGACATGTGTTGGCGGCTGTTGAATCAATACCCACACCCAACTAATGTAAAACGGGGGGGCCTGCTCTTTCGGAGGGTTTAAGGTTTCCCCAGGGATTAATGTAAAACGGGGGGGGTCTGGAATCAGAGCTGGATACGTGCCATCTGCATGTCAATGTCCGCATATGTCCGCACTACAATCCGCAGACTTGGCAGCATGCACGGGGCTGGGGCCCGACAGTGCGGACATGCTAACCTGCTGCCGTCGCAGACCATGCAACAGCAGTATTTTGTTTGGGACTTAAACACATACAATGGCTCGACTAGTGTTTTAGCGGGACGCCGGAACGGGGCAGGGATAGCGTAATGTAAAACGGGGGGGGGCGGCGTACATTATTATTGCCTCAGTCGAGTACTCCAAAACTCCCTGGACTGGTGTCATCAGACTCCCGCCACTGTCAATCTCGACCTATACGCAAACCACGAGCAAGCAAAAGATCCGAGTGAAGAGCATTGTTCATGTGCTTTGCTGTGCGAAGATGTCCATTCTGCCAACCTAGTCCGAAGGGTCCGTTTTACATTATTTGTACCTGGTGACCCCCCAAGCAATAATGTAAAACGGGGGGCCCCCGAAGTTGGGGTTAGGCGTAGGTATTTGAATCATGCGGAAGATCAAGCTTCCACAGCCATAGCCTCTTTCTAGGCACCCCACGTAGGCAGTTCTGAACCCGAGCGTATTGCATTCTGGCAACGCTTGTCGGGTCCCGTCAGCGAAGTTGTTGATGCACTGCCTGGCGTTGATATTGTGCTCATGGGTGATAGTAATCTCTGGCTTCCGGGGTTAGTGCAAAGGCGCGGTGCTCGCTCAGCTGAAATTCTGAATGTTATGTTGCGGTCTTTCGGTTTGGAGGTTGCGAACCCACCTCATGCTCCGACGCACGTGCGCGGAATGGCACTTGATTTGGTTATCGCACAACCAGGGTTAATCCAGGATGTTCAAGTTCATGATAACTATCATTGTTCATGTTCAAACCGCGATTGGTTGCCCCATGCTGGGGAATGACCATTTCACCGTCACCATTGCACTCGGCACGTGGTGTTCCGAACTTCCGGGAGTCAAGGCTCTCCGGCACGTTATGTATCTGGTCAATGGCCCATAGCCACACTGGAAGCCCGAGCTGAATGCAGAGAAGTGTTGAATGATCTGTATAATAATTTGTTGGATACTGTGTGGAATGCACACCCCTCCCTGTATCGCCACCTTTGACCAAACTCGAGAACACAACCTGACGCTTGTTTTGATGCGCTCGTTCAACGCAACGCTGCCTGGCGAGCCAGAAACCGTGACGGCTGTGATGTCACCCATGCCGTGTTCCATGCAGCACGCAATCATTTTCACCGTGTTATACGGAATGCCGAATCAACATGCTGGTCCGAGTGGCTGCATCGGGTTGAGCGGGTGAAGACCTTCAACCCTCGAATTGCAGCTCGCTGGGTGCGTAGCCGGTTTCGGGATCGCGTCTAATTTTGCCCCCAGCTCTTCCGATAGAGCACGCAATCAACGAGATTGTTTGCATCAGTGACAGCTTCATTTCCAGCATGCGGCAGCTGTCAATGCAGATAGTTTCTGTCGTGCGCGCTTTGGTCGTGTGCGCCGTCGGGTTCAAGCCGGTTTTGTTTCAAAACGTGCCCGGTCCGCCCTTCGCCGTCCAAGACTTGCAGGCCGCCCATTCCCAATGCCAAGGGGGCAAGGCCGCATGCAACGGGGATTCCTGTGGTTTCCGGGAGAATGTGAAAGTCAAATTGTTTGTGTATGTGGATGACATTGTCATTTTGAGTGATAGCCCTGCTGACTTGCAGCGAGCACTTGACGCAGCTCACGCTTGAGCATTGTTTTGGCGATTTCATTTTGGTGTCGGTCCCAAAAAATCTGCAGTCATGCTATTAGGACGTGGTCGTGGACGCACTCGTGCGCCTGTTTTCCCTTTAGATGGTCAAGTTTTGCCTCGTGTCAAGTCTTACATGTATTTGGGGATTTCGTTGCATGAAAATATAAGTGGGAAAGGGCACATTGACCGTTTAGTTGCGCGTGGCAAGCGAATCCGGTTGAATGAGGTATCCACCCCGGTGGTGCAGGAGGTCTTGCAAAGAAGTGGTTGCAGCATGCACGACTACCTTTGGTGAACCGGTTTCACGCAAGTTATGCTCTCCTTCTGCGACGGCTCCCTGCCTTTACCCCTCGCGCCGTGCACCTGCCACTGCCGGGGCCGCCTCGACCCGTTCGGTGACCACCGCTCCGCTTGTGCCACGTGCGGAGTGTTGGCGTCACGAGACATTCCGCTCGAGCATGCGGTCGCCCGCGTCTGCCGGGAAGGCGGCGCGCGAGTTGCGCGCAACGTCCAGCTCGCTGACATAAACATTGATGTTCCCGTCAGCGACGCACAGTGTATTGAGGTTTGAATTAATACCAAATAACTCTGGCAATATCGGCGTTTGCATGGATCGGCGATGATCGGCGGATGAGTTGCCTTGATGCTTTCCTCCAACGCCATCAACACACCTAGTGTCTGCAAGAGTCGACGGGGGAAGGAGGCTGCGCTTCTGTGCCACAGGCACACGGGCTGTGGGAGTTCTATTGCCGGCCGTGTGTACAGTGCCCTCCGCACATGCCCGGAGCTTCGCCTTGATTCGGCATGCGGCTCGGCCTCGCCGCATGCGCGAGGTCCAGCACTCGGTCCAGCCACGGGGCCGACGGTTGGTTCGCATGGAGCAGTGGGGGCCAAGCTGACCCAAGCGCTGTGCTTGTGACGGCCTGTTGGACCGACACTGCCAGTATGGCTGGGGCCATGCCGTCGATGCAGCACGTTGCATGGCTGGTGGAGCTCGTTGGGCACGGAAGCGGACCAGATCCCGGAGCAGCGTCTGCATACCGGCATTCCAGCGTCCCCCCAGCTCGCTCCCTAACACCACGAGCTGTTGCGGGCCGCCGGCGTTCAGCTCCGGCTAGGCTCCTTCGCGATGTCAACATCATCACCCGGCGGCACCACTGCCGGGTGTAGAGCGCGGAGTCCCCCTCGCTCCTCACGCTACCCTCGTCAGCATTTCCTCAGCGACGTGCTAGCCGGGCACCGGCTAGATATCCCGCCCGCTGCCAGTCGCCTGCCCATGGGAGTACAGCAATGCAATGTGCAATGGACGCCTCATCAAATGCACATCCATCCGAAATCCGCATGGTAAGGGAGGCTTGTCCTTGGACGACCAATGGTTGTGGTCAGACTGTGAAATATGCCAACGTTCAATTGTCACATACATCAAGCATTCGAGCATACAACAGCAAGCAAGCAAAGAACAACAAAAACGAAACTGTGAACATGTACATGACTGAAACGGTTGCCTACAACGGCACTACGGCTCAGTTCACATCTCACAGGCGGCAGCTGCATGGCACACAGTGCCAACGAACGCAACGCCTCGCAGGGTGTTTCCAGCTGTGCTGACTGCCGGGTCTGGGTGCAAGGACAGGTTGTTCCGCCCACGAGTTTGCTGACACCAGCGTCGGCGAGCTACATTATGAGCCGGACATTCTGTGAATGCATGTGCGAGGGTATTGGAGTTTCGACCACGATGTCGAGCACTCCGCCCGTCGGCGGAGTCGTGATGACCACACCGGGCAAGACCCCACAATCGCACATGATGTGCATGTCTGCTGCGACCGTATATGCAACGGGATGTAGGCGCGGAACGGGCTGCCACTGTGAGTACACTTGCATGCTTTCAACATGACCCAAATTTTTGTTTTACACGCTTCTTTTCGGACGGCACCCGCGGTCCCAGTGCACGTGAAGGCTGCGGTCTACGGGCTGGTTACGCGCAGGGTGCCGGCAGGCGGCTAGCGACGAGCGGCGGGCCTCGGACCTCGGCGAGGACTTCGTGGATCCCCCGCTCCGCAAAAGCCACCACGAGGCGGTAGCTCAAGGAGGGACGCCGCAACGGCGCGAATGGCGGCGACGGCAACCAGCGCTGAACCCAGCCTGCGCAGGCAGCGGCTCGGAGGAGTGGTGGGAGGCTGGCCGCATGGTGCCGGGCAAGGTGGCGGAGGAAGGCGCCCGCCGACTTCAACGCCGATGACGACGAGTCGCGCCCGCCGTGCGCTCTCGAGCTCAGGGTACGTCTGGCGCCGCTTACGGCGAGCGGCGGCCTGGACGGCCGCGCCGGGGCGTGTGGCGGCACCCGACTGCGGCTCCCCGTTCCGCATGACAGGACTCACGAGCGTAGCGTCAAGCGCGAACTGCGCGGTCACCATTATGTATGTCAGCCAAGCACAGGATGCCAGGGAACACGAGGCACATCAGGCATTTTGCTCCGGTTATTTTTTCGCAATCATCCTCTTGACACCTGGACATGCAAGCCCCTCCACGTTCAGGATCGCGTGCTGTGTAGGATGAGTAACGTGTGAAGACAGACGCCAACCTAAATTGCAAACGACGGAAGCGACATATTTGTCAGGGTACGAGTCGTGCATTTGACGAGCACGGTCCCTGAAGCGGTTTTTGGTACTGTTGCGTTGTGCCCTGGAGGACAATTTACGGCAAATTGCCCAGGGAGGGTAGCATGAGTTGAAATCATGTGCTTGCACCGCTGTTTAGGCTCAGGACGGCATAAGACCGTATGGTACTGCAAGAATTGCGGGTTTTCGATGTTGCCGTAATTGTAACCACGTACAACCGACAAGGCTTTCGAGGCTTGGATGTGATGGATTTCGGGTATCGCGGGCTTAGCCGAGATACTGCAGCAGGTGGTTCTAGTCTTCCGCAGAGGAAACGAGATGTGCCAATGCAAATTTCGCTGTCGGCCCGTCGTTCTCCACAACCTGCACACATTGCGACCCATGCAAACGGACAGTACAAGTCGCCTCGGTTTGCGGCCAAGCAACAAGCAAGTATGACCACTTTGGTGTTCGGGTTACGGTTGTTTGAACAATTTTGTGGAAGCAGGTGTCGGACTTGCCGACAGCAGGTTCCCACTACCGTTGCCAGGAGCCGGGATTCATGCAGCCAGGGGATGACGAAAGCGTTCATGGACAGGTCGGCCTACCGTGAAGGTGACACTGAATGCTTGGCTGACGGAACGCCTATTGCAAGAGCAGGGAATGCTGCAATTTATTCATCGGCAGCTGCTGCTGCTAGCATGACCAGCAAGCCTTCAAGGATCTCGGTGGATGGCTGCCTGGCTGATGGTACAGCCTTCACCAAAGCAGGCAATGCTATCAACCATCCCGAATCGACCGTGTTACCCATGGTTACAAGCAGAGGTGTTCCGGATGCTGGGTGTTTGGCAGACGGAACGCCCGTTGAGCTGGCAGGAAATCGATCATTGAAGTTCTTCAACCCATCCAAGACGTCGCTGTTGGCAGATGTGGATGAGCTGGCTGGTACAGAGGGCGACGTAGAAGAAGAAGACAACATGCGAGATGGAAAGACGGAGTTGGTCGATCCGCCGGATGAGAGGATGCTGGCTGCTGGTGACAGCACTTCGTCGGAGCTTCGCGATCCTTCGAACCTGCACGGCCAGTCGACGAGCAGCAAACCCGGGAAGGGGGCAGTTCGGTTGGCCACCACCAGATGTGAGAAACCATTTGCTGCCCGAGATGTCCCGAGGGCCAGTACAGAGCGTGAGCAACCAAGCCTTGCCCGCGCCGCCAGTTTGGGCACAATTGCACCGAACATCACAATCCCGGACGAGATATTCGAGCCATCTCCCCGACGGGCTAGTGCAACCAAGGAGTTTTCCTCCGGTGTGACGTCCGCCGCGACTTTTGAGTCAACGCTTGCTGGGGGTTCCACAGTGCTCATTGACGCAAACAACCCGAAACCGATGCGGCAAAAGCACGCGCAGCCAATGAAACACCAAAACCTTGCGGGATCCAAGATCTCGTTAGACGAAGAAGAAGATGACATTTCTGAGCAGCTGCTTGCAGTGACAGCATTTGTAGCTTCTGTCCTATTCATAAATGGTAGCTAGTTCGGGGTGCTGATCCTTCCACCTGTACAAGACGAGAGCACACCTTCATAGTCGGAACAACCGGTGGCCGTAGCTTGATCTAGCAGCGGCTTGATGGGTGTCGCGTTGAACTTTTCAAGCTTCCCTTTCATAGGGTTTGAGGTGCAGCAGGCTTTCTGCTGGAGCTAGAATCTCTTGAAGTCGTCGGATTGCCTTGCCAGAAAGGTAGCAAGGGAGTCATGCAGCATTGCTGCCTAGTCTGATGATTTGTTTTCACGAGAATGTGCACGTCTACTGAGGCAAAAGGCCCCTCAATGCTGCCACCATTTTCACCACTGGCAGGAGAAAATCTACCGTTATGCAGTGGGATGGCTTACAGGTTGGCATAGCTGCTTTTGGTTTGTTGGGTTCAGGGGCTTCTTTTGTTGTTTGGGTCGTTTGGGACAGTTGTTGTGTGCTCCGTCGAACGCTTTTGGTTTGATGCAATCTTGACACGTAGCAAGACAAGGGGACTTCGCCACGGTTTTAAATAGCCATACCTGGGTAAAGAGTTAAGAAACTATCGGAAACAATCGAAGGTGTGATTGAGTGTCGTTGAAAGTCGTATGTCGCAGGACAACAAGGTATCACTCGAGAAAATCATCGGTCGAGTCACAAGTCCAAGTTGTGTCCAGGTCGAGCTGCGAGTGCTTCTTTGTTGTGTGGGCTCCAGATCCTGTGTGTGTTGACTTCGAGGATACGTCTCCCTTTGTTTAGCAACCTTACTGCTCAAGCGCGCGGCCGGGGAAGACATGCCCATGCTGCTTTGAGACTCCCTCTTGCATGGGGGCCGGGTGCTCAGCCACGACATGCACCTAGGCATCTGTACGTCGGGCGGAGCAGTGTCGCCTTTGGCTCGTGTGCTGAGGCCGAGCCCCAAATCTCGCATTGGAGGCACTTGTTGGAGCAAGCACGATTGGAGAAGAGCCTGGTGCCCGACATCGAGGATCTGGACTCAGATATGATATGTACCTTGCGGCTGGACTAGTCTGGTCTGTTGCCCGAAGGGCATGCGTTCACTGCGCGAATAGCACGAATGTCGTTTTTTGCGAAAGGCCGTGGATGATGGTCTTCCTGCGGCCTGGGGCGGATCGGCATTGCGGATCTTCAGGCGGGATGGTTAGATTTGGTTGTTTGTTGCCCTGGCCTGCACTGGCTGACTGGCTTCTGCCGGTGGCTGGTAGTCACTGGCACTGCCAAGGCAGCGGTCCATCCTCCAAGAGGAATGGCTTCACTCCTTTATGCCCCAGTCAAGGAGCTCGCCGTCAGAGTTTCGGGCAGCAAGCATGAGAATTCGGCGAGCAGGAGGCGCTTGCCGACGCTCCTGGCTTTCGGATCATCAAAAGGAGTTCTGTCCTGAGTGGCGGTCATTCGGATCATGCTTCACGTGGAAACCTCAACTCAGGCTGGGTGTGCCAAGCTGGCCGACCAACCAGGCAGAAGGAATGCATCGTTTGGCACGTCCACGCAAGATTCGTACAGACTCCATGTATCGAGTTGTTGGCAAGTCTTTCGCTAAGCCCCTTTCGGCTTCAGAGGGGGATGGTTGCCAAGTAATGCTACAGCAGATGCTAGAGATGCTTCTTTCATGACCGCGAACCTGTGGAGCCCAAAGCTGTCGCCCACGTTTAGGACCATGCTCCTAACCGTTGCCATGTCGTAACGCCTCCTCAGCTGTGCAATGTTCGGTTTCCATGGTGCGTGTGACATCGCTGCACTTGGTCCGGTTTGTGTTGTCATTTTGCGCATGCAGGCGCGTGCAACCACACCACGGTTTTCTCGAGGTGAGAGGGCGCGCGACGCGCAAACGCGCCAATCGAAAAGCTGGAAGCGTTCAGCAAGACAGGGAGGCGCAAGATGCTTGCATGTCTCAGCACTTCTCAAGCGAAGTTTTGGGCTCTGCAGGCCTTGCAATTGGGCCTCTACTTGTCATGGCTGCGCAATGAGTTGGACAGTGAAGCAGCATGCCTGGACCCGCGGCCGGCATAGAGCATGGGAAGCAGGTCGCAGGCCTTGGCATGGTTGTTGCAGAAACCCTGACGACAAGGAGATGCCTTGGACGATGTTGTTGCTCTTGACTTTTGCGGTGTTGCCCCCGGCTCCAGAGCTCCAGCTCTCGGATGGCTTTGGATGCACAGCGCTTGGCATCCTGCAGAGGTTATCGTTTACATGCACACGCGACCGGATTTCGTGGTGGTTGTTGAAGGGGCATGGAAATCAGCTACTGAGCGGAATTCGGTGGTGGCGTGGGCAAGTTTGAGTTCGTTTCATGTCGGACGGTTTGGCCCAGGCTATAGAGGAAGGTGCCACCTTTGCTTGGTCGGGGAATTTCGGCCACAAGAATGCTGCGATCTTAGAAGCTTCAAGCCTCTTCAGCACATTGATGAAAGGCCTGGCTTGAGGGTTCGCGGCTGGGGAATAATCGAGAGATCGTGTCAGGTGTACGACGTAAATTCCCTGGCCGACTTCTGGTCTTGGCTTCGATTGGGCTTCCTCCCACTGTTGGTGCAACATTCCTGGGCTTGGTCTGAAGGCCGGTGGCGAGAGTGCGAAGGTTTTCCGGAGAGCATAGTTCATCTGGCGGAAAGGCTTGGATGAGGCCTATGCGGTGTCTGCCCATCTGAGTGGGAACTTCTCCAGCAGCCTGCCAGACCGTTTGGCTGGAGACTCAAAGCTTCCTGCCCCTGCCAGTGGTTTTCGCCTTCTGTGTCGGTGCACTGGGGCTCAGGACCTGGCCTACGGTTCGCGGCCAAGTAGAAGCCGAATCTGCAAACGCAGTCGACGTGTGAGCACAAAGCTGCCCGTGTAAGGTCTCTTCGCGGATGAGCCCTGGGACAGTGCCCTGCTGCCTGTGCGGGATGCGCCTCGTCTACCTCTTGTCGAGTCTCGGGCTTGAACCGAAGCGTCTCGATCCTGAGGACTTCTTGAGCTACCAGAAAATCGTGGCTGGCATCCGAATGCAGCAGGAAAGAGCTGTGGGAAGCTGGGAGGCCAACTCTCGGCTACGACACACTGACATGGAGCTGCCTATCTTTGTTCGCCTGTAGGCCTGCCACATCCCCTCCAGCCGCCTGGTGAGCAGTCATCCTAGCAGGTTGGGCACGTTGTGTCTGGAGCTGTTGCGCTAGCCGAGGCATGCCAGAAGATCTCTGGAAAGACTGGTTGGGCAAGCCATGTATGCTGGCAGATCAGTCCTATTTCCTCACCCCCGAAGTGTCTCGACTGCAGCGCCCTGTGGTGCTTTGTCCGGGAAGCTGAACCTGCGTGCTGCATTTGCTTTATTTTGGTGGGATTTCTCTTGAGGTTCATCAGTCCGAAACCTTCAACGGCGAGCCCATGCGGGTGGAGTGGTTTCTTACCATGAAGCAGGCGCTGCAAGAGCTGCAGATGATGACCTTGGACATGGAGGACGCTTGTGCCAAAATACGTCTTTGGCTGTCCTGGTGCGACGATTTCGGTCACTGACCAAGCTCTGATGTGAAGGGCAACATCCGAATGAGACCTGTTTCAATCTGTGTCAGGACGGTTGCTCGGACTTGGCCAGCAAGGCCGCGCAGCCAGGTCGTCCCGAGGCGCTTTCTAGGAAAGGAGCTTCGGCAGGGAGCTGCATCTTCTTGACTGTGAAACACAGGTCCCGGATGAGTGCTGGTGCCAAAGCTGTAGCTTGGCTAAAGATGCCTCCGAGGGAGGCCGACTGTTGTGCCATCCTCCGTCGCCGAGGCCAGGATGGTGCCCAGGGCTCCGGAGGCGGGATGATTTGGATTCGGGATGCGCCATCGAAGAGGCTCTGTTTACTGCGCGGTGCAAAGCGAGGCAGCCTGGTGCCTGGACCATGGCTGGATGCGGCTCGGCCAGAGACAGAGACATGGTGTGTTGCAGTGTGAAGCGTTCCCTTCGTCGTTCCAGGAATACACCCGCCGAGTTGAAGTGAGCACCGTGGCTTACAACCAAAACTATGGCTTGGTGTCGCTGGTGTCGGTCAACTTCTTCATCAACAAAGCAGGACATGTGCACAAGCTCCTGTGGCTCAGCTAAGCTTTCGTCATCATCTTCCTTCACCGTTGCCCTGCTTTGCGTCACTGCTTCACTGAGGGATGTGCAGTCAGCCCGAATCGATCCCTATGTGGGGTACCTTCTCTCGGTCTTCATCATGGTTTCCTGCACCCTGACTGCGACAACATGCAGGCTTCAACGTTGCAGATGTTCCACAATTCACGACAGCGGCAAACCGACATAAGCTATCCAGCATCCATCTAAGGTGACATCCTTTGGTTGATAGGGTTGCTGAAGCTTCTCCTGAACGAGGCGCGGATTCTAGTTGCAGACTAGATGGCAGGCCCCAGCACGGGGTTGCTTTATCCGGCAATCGTGTCCTTCGATTGCGCCTTGCGGCAGGTGCAGGACATTGTCAACACCATCACAGGCTCGCAACAAGCCTGGTGGAAGGCTCTGCTTTTCGAGTACCTAGTGATCGACCCAGTGCATTCAGCATCATTCCAGCGACGGTGCTGTCGTGTCTGGGTCTCTCGGCGGAGAAGTCTGCAGCCGAGGCTTTCTGGAACATCGTGGACTGGCTGTCGTTGGCCTGTGCTTGGGCAGTGTTGGGGACGTACATCCGTGCAGGCATGGAGGTACCTTGGTTGTTCTCTATGCATACTGCTCGTGTGGCATCGGGTCAAAGATCATGGCTCAACAATTCCCCAAGGTTGCAGCCACATCCTTGCAGCTCGAGAACGTCTTGCAGCCAGATGTCCAGAATCGAACCAGAGAGGAGCTTTCCGCCAGGAGCGACCTGGTCTTTCAAGCCACGGCCACTTGGACCGATCGTTACGGTCCGCGCTGAGGTGATGATTTCCGTGGCTTTGAGTCCGCCGGGAAACGTCCTCAAAACCCTAGAAGGACCCAATTGAAGATTGCCTTCTGCCTACCTCAGTCGGGGTATTGCTCACCAGGCAGTCTTGCTTCTTGTAACGAGGGACGAGGGACAACTGTGTGTGCTAGCAACCCGAAGTTCCTCCTTCGACATCGAAGGTGTCGACAGCTAAAACATCGAAGGTGTTTTCGCTAAATGTGTTCTATCCGTCGCCGTTACGGCTAGAACCCCTTTGGGGGGTAGAAGATTTTCAGAGTACGATAGGAAAGGAAACGGGGGCTAGGCCCCCGCTCGCCGCTATGGAAGTGGAAGAAGTTCCGGATAGTCCGGCTCTATCCGAGGTGGAGGCAATGCTAGATGCGCAGCCACTGTCACCGGAACCCGAAGTGGAGCTCCGGGACCCTCTGCTACGGAAGTGCCGCGACTACCTGCTAGAACAGGGGTTCCGCAATCCGGAGCTTGCCACTGTACGGGACGAGGACGTTCCGGGTCTAGCTAGACAACTGGCCCTCGAGCTGAGGATCCCCTTTAGTGCGGAGCTAGAACAGTTGCTCCGCTTTTTGATCGAGGAAGCTAGGGGGAAAGCCCCAGTCGAGATAAGGATGGCTGGCTTCCACCGGGAGCCTCTCTACTGGGCTGCCTTGGAACCGCCGGAGAAGAGGCTACGTGGTGCGGACCCAGAGGAGCAAGAAGATCCTGCTGGACCCCCTCCCGGGGAACGACGCAGGAAGCTGATCCTAGAGGGAAGTGTGCTACAAGCCAGGGGAGAGAAACTTCTGGAGGTGTGGACCCTTCGGCTACACGAAGAACTCCGGGAGTGCCGGGCACCTGTGCTAGAGCAACTTGAGAGCAGCCTGGATCCGCAACGTGCCGCTAGCATGCTAGGGGGCAGCACGCGAGCCACCACCTTGAAGCGCTACCTCACTACCTACAAAAGGTGGCGGCTATGGCTCTGGGAGGCTAAGCTCAAAAGGCCGCCGGGCCGCCCCGCTGACTTGGTGGATTATCTGGTGGTCCGGCGAGACGAACCATGTGGGCGCTCTATACCAGCTTCCATCTACAGTGCTATACTTTGGCTGGAAAAGGTCGGTGAGTTCCCAGCGGAAGAAAGAGCTACCGCGGGACGTCTCGCGCTGGCAGCTAGAGACAGCATGACGGAAGAGCTTTCACAGGGGACACCTCTCACGAAGAGGGCGCCTCGCTACCCTGTCTTCATCCTAGTGAAGCTAGAAGATCTGGTCCTTGATGCTACACAAGCTGTGGGGCACCGCATATGGGCCTGGGCCAAACTGGTGAAGACATGGGCTACACTCAGGTGGTCCGATCTCCAGGCCATCCTACCACATGAGCTACGGCTGGTGGAGGGGAGGCTGACCACCACGCTACGGAAGACGAAAACTTCCGGCCCCAACAAGAAGGTCAAGGAGCTACCTGTGTGCGTGTCTGAGCACGCATTCTTCAAACGCAAGACGTGGCTACAAGTTGGCTTTCAGCTGCTAAAGGAAAGGGCACCCTATAAGCGGGACTACCTTCTCCCGCGTCTGGGTGGCCAAGGCCTGCTAGAGAACAAGATTGCGGAGTACCCGGACGCGGTGGTGGCTACAGCAGCGCTGCTACATCTTCTGGGGTTGCCTTCTGTGGTCCAAGGGTTCTGGACTGAGCATAGTGAGCGGTCGGTCTTGCCAACAGGCCTCTCGCTACAAGAGACGCCACCTGCCGACAAAGATTTGCTAGGTCGTTGGAAGCCAGAGAGCTCCGACACGTATGCTAGAACCTTCCCAGGAAGGGTCGCTCGGCTGCAGGCAATTTTTGCCAAAGCTGCTAAAGGAGCCGGCCACAGCGAGGTGCTAGACGAACGCGAGATAGGCACTTCGCTGCGGGACTGGCTTGTTGATAAGAAAGGGCTGCCGCCAGCGCAGGCTGAGTGGCAGGCTCGGGTGCTAGAAATCACCTGGAAAACGGATGTGGAGCTAGATGGACCGGTGGCTGGAGTGGTGCCCCCGCCGATTTTAGAGTCCAGTGCTAGCTCTTCAAGCAGCTCCACCACGTCGAGTGGGGACAGCAGCAGCTCCAGCGAGGAGCGGGCACCCAAACCTGCTAGGCTGCAGGACAGGAAGACGGCCTATGTGGTCGTGGGGCAGCCGGGGGCGGTCTTCAGGCTACACAAGGCTTGCGGGAAAGGATGCTGGATGGGCCAGCGCCGCTACTTTCGGAATGCTAAAAATTTTGACGCCCTTCCAGCAAGCACCGAGTATACTCATGTGTGCCGCCTCTGCTGGCCTCAGCAAGACGATATGCCCGAGGAGCTAGAAGATGGGTCGGAGACCTCCACGGCTCACTCGGGGGATGAACCGCAGCTAGAGGTAGAGCCGGCTGCTTGATAGCATCCCGGGCCTGAGTGCGAATGCTCTGGCTAATGGGGGCCTGGCAACTGCCACGGCTACGCAAGTACTTTCGGCACGCTAAAATGAATCTTGCTTTCGTTTTGCTTTTTCTCCTCTGGGGGGGTCTCCTTGGGGGGTCTCTCTCGGGGGGGGGAAGACAGAAGAGGAGGGGAGAGAATCACGTTCTGCTACATGTTCTTGCTGCAGTCTTGCTACATGTCCTTGCGGTCGCTGTGTGCGCTAGGCTTCCCTCTGGGTTTCCCCCTTGTCCCTAACCCCATTTCGAAGGTTGCGAGGCGGGCTAGGTCAGGCAGTGAGTGCGCAAGGGTTCGCTCTTCGAAACGCTTTCGCTACAGCTTTCTCTCTCGAGAGGATCTGTGCTAGGTAAATCCTGGCGAAAGCAACAGCTAGCAGCCATCGGCATGGCTAGCTCCCAGGTGCCCGCTGCAGAGCACTCGGCGATAGACTGCGCTACAGCGGTCAAGCACTGGGTGCAGTCCGACAAGGACACGCTAGAAGGCGTGCTCCGAGCTCGGCTGCATCCCGACGAGCTGCAGGCGCTAGTGGACACGGTCAGGAAGGCCCAGGTTCCGCTAGGCCTCCGTGCGGCTACAGTGGCAGGGGCCTCCAAGCAACGCTTCCCGGAGGGCTCCCGCTACACCAACCGCCTTGACTGGCTAGCGAGCTTGACCTCGCTAGATGACCTCACCGTGGAGGAGGAGAAGGCGCTAAACGAGGTCGAGAGGGCCCTGCTAGTGGACAAGGTCCACGGAGTGGTGCAGCAGGAGCCGCTACCACCTGATGAAGTCATCGACCTCGCTACCATGGAGGCACAGCATCTGGCGGAGCTAGAGAAGAGACAGGAAGAGCTGCTAGCTGAGTTCCAAGCGGAACAGCTAAAGCAGCAACAAGCACAGGAGGCGCAGCTCCGCCAGACGCTAGAGGAGTTGCAGCAGAGGCAGCAGCAAGAGCTAGAGCGAGCACAGTTGGCCCAGGCCACACAGAGTGCCGCTACAGCCGCTGAGGCACCGCGGGGCAGCAACGACCCGGGCCCCGCTACTGCCGCTCCAACCGCTGCTGCTACAATGGACGATGCCCGGCGCCGCTCTGCTACGCCCAACAAGATGGGGCGAGGGGGCTTTCCACCGCTACAGGAAGCTAACCCTCTGCCCGCTCGCACGTTGGGTCGCCAGGAGCTAGTCCAGGGACGAGCGGCTACAAAGGAGAGGCGCTCGCATACACCGAGGCGGTCGCTAAGCAGGTCGGGCGGCGGCCAGCAGCAGCCACCCACGGCGCTACCAGATCCCAACCGCACTTGGGACGTGGTGCTGCTAGCGGCTAGGCCCATGAGACCGACCTTGCGCGATGGCCCTCTCACTTCGCTACATGACAACCGCTCCGTGGCCGAGCTACGTGGCACAACTGTGCCGATCGAGCTCATCATGCCACCGCCGGTGGGAGCCCATGCTAACAGCCGGCCGCAGGGCGAAGAGGGCAACCTGCTAGAGCTCTCCTGGTCGTCAGTGCCGCGGCCTCTGTGGCCGCTAGGCACCTGGACCTTGGAGGAGGGGCCGCCGGCTGCAGCTAAAGGCAAGGGGAAGGGCGCCGCTAAAGGCAAGGACAAGATGGCACCGGCCAATGCTACCAACCCGGCGTGGCTACAAGACCTGACGGGCTACGACCTGGAGCAGATCTGTGCGATGCCTCCGACCGGCCGGGCGCTAGAGCTGGCGACCTGGATGCAGCGGGACGTGCCCTTCCCGCTACATGTTGCTAATGATGAGGACGATACCTTCGGCTTCGGCCGTTGGGACGATAGAAACTATATTTTTAGATGTATCATACGGTGCCCCAATTGCCACGCTAACATGTGCAATAGGCGCATGTGGTGGCCGCTAGACGACCACCATGCTCACTGGTGCACCCAGTGCATGCGCTAACTCCGCTTTTGAGGGCCCGCTATAAAGGCCGTTGCGCTAGGACTCCGTATGCCAGAAAGAAGGGAGGCGCGAGAGAGAGGTTTTCCGCTAAGGGGCAAAGCCTTTTAGGGGGGAAAACTGTGGCGCCCACAAAAGGAGGGACCCGACCACTTCCTCCCCACCTTCCCTGCTGGGCCTGGGGGGGGGGAGATTAACCCGCTTTACAACCAGAATCCCTACTTTACAACCAGAATCCCCACTTTACAACCACAGACACTGTTTTCCATGTGAGAACCCCCACTTTACAACTGCCGATCGTGAGAACGCCCACTTTGCAACCCGTCTACCCATGATTAAGACTTATTGGGATTTCATGAGTTTTTTTACAACAAACCTACCTAGATTCCTAATAGTTTGTTGGTTCTTTGACCCCCTATAGTGTTGTACGTGGCCTTCATCCGACCGTGGCCCCAAACTACTAAGATCTCGAACATCCCTCAAATTGCTTCGTCGCATGATATCTTTGATCTTTGTCGTCTGTGGGTGCCATGTTTTATGTATGCTTTCCTCAATACAAGCACACAAAAAAGGAAAATCATTTTTTGAAAGTACTTGTATGGCGTAACACCGTAAATACAACATCAAATGTAGTAAAATGTTCGGGTTC